ATAAATATTTGCCTTGAATAATAAATTCTATATTTATTTGTTGAAATAATTTAAATTATTTTAATGTGATATATTCTTATGATTTTAGCTCCCCAACTTGTGGCCTCTAAGTATTATTTAAAACAATTTTATATTTTGCATTTTTTATACTTGAATGAATAGAATGCTGTTTGTGTATTTAGTTATTACAGTCGACTCTATAATATGAGCTCCGTTAAATCGAAAATCGTGATAAATAAGAACAAATTATGTCCCCTTGAAAAAAATTCGTTCTCGATCATTTTCTATAATTTAAATATCTGTGTAAATCGAATAATAAAAATAATAAAAATAAAAAATAAAATAAAAAACTAATCCGTTTGCCATTTCGAATTATCGGGAGTCAAGATTTTTTTTTTTTTTTTGTAATCATTTTGGCCTTGAATATATTTTTTAATATATTTGAAGTAAATAAATAGCTATGAAGAATCAGTTTTGTGTAAAAATGCAAATTAAGCCTCATTAATAAATAAATTAATTTATAGACTTAATCCAATAATCCATGCAGCCCATGAGAAACGCTGGAATAAAACAAATGAAGCATATAATTTAATTCTTGTATAACAATTGGAATTAATATCGATATGCCATACACTATTAAATTAAGCAAAACTCATTTATGGTTCATAACGCACGACTCCTGTCTGAGTCACGAGAGGATTTGAGCAAGAGGTTAAGATCCCATGCCCAATGTGTCTATAAATTTCCTCTTTGTGGCGATGCCAGACGCTGTAATGTTAAGCCCAGCATATGCTTATGTGCCGTATGTGATCCGGCGTCATCATTACCATTTTCTGTCATCGTCATATCATATCGCACATCCACACACACACACACACATGTCTTTATGAGTTTCTCGCAAATGATAAGAAAAGTTTTTCCAGCATAGCCAGCGAAGGCGGAGAGCAGGAATGGTCCATGTCAAAACATATGGCATATTGCCAGGCAAAACATTTAATGGTCTGCAAAACGGCCAGTGGATGGCAGAGGACGACAACGAGAGCGCATTAAAAGTTGCTTAACCTTCATTAGGCGCCCTATTCTAACTGCCAGTGAAATGAAATTTAATATGTGTCACGGCTTTGGGCAAGAACGGGGTCCTTCGTCCTTTCCAACGGGCATCGGGTGGCGCAATAAACGCGGCTGTCAGGGAAGCTTAATATGCCATTTGTGCATGGCTGCTATGTCGGCTGCACTGCATCCTAATGATATGCTTGAAAAAAGGTTGCGAATCACCGCAGAACTTGGCAAACAAAGAAAGCGCCAAGTGCCAAGCGCCAAGCTCCGTGCGTCGAGCTTTAATCAGTCGGGATCCAGGCAAGCAGCCAAACTCGATTTGCCAGCTCGTTTCACGCCAGGGCAAGCCTGCCGCAGCCGGAACTGGCAGCTCGCCTGTCTCCTACTCGAGTCGACTCCTACTTCCGGTGGCACGCTGACTCTGACTCCGACTCCGACTCCGACTCCGACTCCGCACGCAACGAACGCGACAAACGCGTTAATACGGCGACATGGCATTATCCTTTTCTCGCTTTCTCGCTCTCCCTGCTGCCACTCCGGCTCGCTGCCTGCCTGTGCATTTTGATAATCGAATTTGCGCAAACAAGCAGGCGACACAAGTTGAGCAAAATAGCAACAGAGGCAGAGAAGCAAGGCAGCTGATGTGATATGATATGATAGAAGGAGAGCCTATACACTTACACCTTAAGCCCATGAAAGCAGTCTATAGAAATGGTTTCTACAACGATTTCTGGTCACTTGAGTATTATAATTAAACTATATCATATTGCTATCCCTAACATTAGTTTCTCAAATCGAAACTGCGCGCTGCAGCAGATTTCGTTCGAGTATATTTTTATGAAGATTATTTTCAAAACTGTTTAATGAAATGTACTATAGACACAGCTAAAGAGCAAAAACCCCTGTCTTTCTCGAAAACTCTTTCTATATACTCATTTACGAAGTGTCCGTCCGTCCGTATAAGCTTTTGAACTCAAAATGCTGAATATAATCTCGTGCTAAGGCTTTTGCAATGCAATTACTCATGGCGTGACAATTGGGAAAGCAATACAATACAATATCCCATAAACGTCATGAAATTAGGAGTATATATTCGCCTTGGATATATGTATATGCATGTGTGTCGGAGATGATAGTATTATTCGGATGGAATATCTTATCGATATATGGGTTCATGCATAACATTGAGTGATATTGATTGAACAGTGCAGGGACACGCTGCACTCCGCAAAATTATCTAATCTACAGAAATACCCGACGTAATAAATTAATTTTCTAAGCATTCCGCTAAATATTGAGACGACGTTATTTCAGGAATCATTTAGCCCGTTGTCAATTGATTCGTATAATTGAATTTGCCTTGTGCTACGCCTCGTTAGCACACTGACCCTATATAAGCAGCAGGCGCCGATCGCTCCACTTAGTACTGGAAGATCTTGCGATGAGCTTCTTGATTTTGTTAGCACTTTTGGGGCTCAGTGGCCATGGAATATTTGTCCATTCGTATGACTGTCAGGTTCAAGAGGCGGTGTTAAATCAGCAACGTCAAAATATTCTGGACCAAAGGAATATGCTGCAACTGCAGGTGAAATGGTTGGAGCAGTACTGTCATCTCTCCTTGCCCGATGTGGGAATCGTTAACCCTGTACCACCACCTACGTGCGTACCAGGCTCTATAAATATAAATGTGAACATATGTCCATATTTCAAAAATTAAACTGTGCTGTTTAATCTGTTGGGCAGTTAAACCACTGGATAAGACACACAGGGAACTATGATTTGTATACACAAGAAAATGGGAATAAAAAATAAACATAATATAAACCATATAATATTGTAAACGAATATAATATAAATCTCTCCTGTGTATTATTCCACTGCACAATTTGACTTTTTTTAATTGGGAAATCAAAGTATAATGGTTATGTTAAAATGTTTGCAACAGGGAGATGGAGGCGTGACAGACCCCATATGATATATATATATATATATATATATTCCTGATCAGCATGAGGAGCTTGACTCGATTCACCCCTGTTCGTTAGCCTGCCTGTCCATCTGTCCGTTTGTGTTCAGAAAGTATAAGAGATTTGTAGGTCTCGGTATTATACCTAGATCGAGCTTAAAAAATCGATAACTATTCCCACTTTAGTGTTATCGATTAAAACCCTGATAGAGTATAATACAAGAAGAGGAGGATACAAGAAAGGGAGGCTCTGGCATCAGCTCATCGGCTTTGACGACAGCAAAATATTTCATTAGCAGTTCCACAAAAGATTTCTAATTCGATTAGGGGATTGAAGGTCTCTTAGAACGTTGTTGTGATAATAAGTCACGCTGAAAATTCCTCTGTAAGCCCATTAAGCATGGTCCGATACTGGTTATATAATTGAGTGGGTACGGTTACTTAAGTTCCATGTTCAATTGATTTCGCAGCCTTAAGAATTTGTTGCGCTCCTTCGCTATATAAGCTGGAGCTTACTGGATATCCCCACGCAGTGAAGATGAACCGAATATTATATTCAGTGCTGCTGGCGCTCTCTGGCATCGTGCTTTTGGTCGATGGCGCCTCACTGGACTGTTTACAGAAGCAACAGTATTTAGCTGCTGTGCAAGTGGAATTGAGCAAGCTGGAAATAAGGCACAACCATCAAGTGAAGTGGTATAATAGCTTTTGCCGGAATACGCCATTCCCTCATCCGCCTATAACATTTCCTCCGCAACATAAGCCAGGCCCCACTATTATTATAGTGTACCCACCAGGAAGTCCATGTAACCCAGGAAATGGATCCATCATTGATCCGCCTGCAACTCTGCCAACCCTTCCTCCAGGTCCTCCTGAAACTATGCCAACTCTTCCTCCACCTCCTGTAACTAAACCAACTCCTCCTCCAACTCCTCCTCCAACTCCTCCTCCAACTAAGCCTCAAACATATCCCACATATCCCACATATCCACCGTATCCAACATACCCAACGTACCCAACATATCCAACATATCCAACGTATCCCACATATCCACCGTATCCAACATATCCAACACATCCAACATACCCACCATACCCAACATATCCACCCTATCCACCTTATCCAACCAATCCACCATCCACATCTCCACCAAGCACAACAACTCCACCATTCCCTACATACCCACCTACCACAACTACATCCATCGCCACTCGACCACCCGTAATTTGTACGCACCCATGCCAACCAGGCTGTCCATGCCAACCAGGTTGTCCGTACCCATGCCCACCAGTGTGTCCGTACCCATGCCCACCAAACTGTCCGTACCCATGCCAACAACCAGGTTGTCAATACCCATGCGTACAACCAGGTTGTAAGTACCCATGCCTATACCCAACCAGATACCCTCCCGTATTCCCACCCGTATTCCCAACCGGATACCCACCCGTATACCCAACCGGATACCCACCTTGTTCGCACCCACCATGTCAACAACCATTAATATTAGTTGTTGATTGCCCATTCGCTAAGAAACAACAACAACAACAACTCCAAGGAAAACTTCCATGGGACAACACAAGGACAGATTCGCAAAGCGTTAGCGTTTCATTTAGTGAGAGTCCCCCACCGATTGCAGCAATAAAGCCTACAGTTCCTTTCTCAGATACCGACATTAATGTGGACGCGAAGCTGAACGCGGTAAGTGCGAGATGTGCCCAAATTAAGATTAAATCTAAGATTATTTGTCGGCCTATGGAACAGGTGGAGCTGATCCAGAAGTATGGTTACCCTGTGGAGGTGCACATCGTCATAACATCGGACGGCTATAAACTGGTCCTGCATCGCCTACCGCGCCCGGGAGGACCTGTCGTATTGCTCGTGCACGGCCTCATGTCCAGTTCAGCGTCTTGGGTGGAAATGGGCCCGGCAAACGGCCTGGCTTATATACTATACGACCAGGGATACGATGTTTGGCTTTTGAATACGCGCGGCAACATCTATTCGAACAAGCATAAGAATCCCCATATTCGGCCAGCGGACTACTGGAGCTTCTCGTTCCATGAAATCGGTGTTTTCGATCTGCCAGCCAGTATTGACAAAATCTTACAAGTTACGGGCAAGAGCACCTTGCAATACGTTGGCCACTCCCAGGGCTGTACCGCCTTCTTTGTGATGGCCAGTCAGCTGCCTCAGTATGCCAAGAAGGTGTCTCTCATGCAGGCTCTCTCGCCCACGGTCTACTTGAAAAATACACAGAGTCCGGTGCTGCGATTCCTGTCTCTGTTCAAGGGAAATATCAGAGTACGTATTCCGTGCGAGTGCCGTTCTTTTTGAATCGAGCGTCTCTAATCTCATGCTTTACTCAATTGCAGGTTTTGCTCAATTTACTTGGTGGATTCTCGGTCGCGAAGGATAACAAGCTAATCAAGCAATTCCACGCTCAAATCTGCAAGAGCAACCAATTGGGCAGCGAGATATGCCGCATCTTTGACTATGTGACGTGCGGATTCGGCTGGAATCAGTTTAACAATGTAAGTAGTTCAACCTAGAGTTAGGATGGTAAGAGAGAATGGAGACGTGGCACACCACAGCTGAATTGATCTAGTCCGACTGTCCCTAAGCTATCTTTCCTAGTTTTCTAGTTGGGCACTACCGACTGGCTTAGCAGTTGTCACAGCTCGTATGAAGGCCTCATATAGATATCATATTTCTTAGTACTTACAGACTATGAATACCACGTATACATAAATGATTTCCATATATTACAGACCTTGGAGCCTATTGTCGCTGAGCATTCGTCGCAGGGCGCGTCCGCCTTCCAGATCTATCACTATTCGCAGCTGCTCAGTAACCAAGAATTCGCTGCCTTCGATAATGGCGAGGCGCTCAATTTACAGCAATATAATAAGCCACAGCCGCCGGCCTACAACATCACCCAAATACCCTGTCAAGTGGCACTGCACCACTCGCAAGACGACTGGCTGGCCAGCCTGCCCGATGTTCAGCAACTAAAGAATCAACTGCCCAATGTTGTCGACTACTCGTACATTCAGCAGGAAGGCTTCAGCCACTACGACTATATGCTTTCGCAGAATGTGCAGGGGCTGGTCCACGATCGCGTGGTTAGTAATTGTGCTAGGTATGGGCACAAATAAACGAGTGCTAGATCTGGGCTTAATTACCATGCCAAAAATTAATCTTGTGTACATTTTCAATTTGAAAAGTTTTGGTTGTGGTTGAAAAAAGAAAAGCATACATGCAAATATATAGAAAAAAATAATGGTCAATTAATATTTAAGCGATAGTTGAAGTTATAGGTAATACGCAGCTGTTGAAATTTTCAACATGGGGAAAGTTTACATGCAGTGAAAAGTAAATCTGATTACTCAGTCATATTACGACTACGATTTGACACTCCTCAATGACTTTCAATGGTGGAGGTCGGAGGCGGCTACTATTGATGGATTGGCAGTCCACCTTTCCAATTAAACAAGCAGCGTCATAATATCAGAAAGCAGCCTTTATCATATTACAATTACTTGATTTGGTGGCTTATTGGATCCATTGAAGCTAGAAAATTTAAATGGCTCTGTGAAGTATATGTGACTGGCGGCAAGGGGCGTGGCAGTTTCTATATGTAATCTTTGCCGGCTGTCCACTAAAGCTAGAGATTGAAAATCTTCAATTAAAAATGTAGGCACGCATCAGAATTTACGGTTCATTTAATTTTAATTTTTTTTTTTTTTCTTTACGACTATTCAACACAGTACTTACTTTTTATTTATTTTGTTAAGTTTTGTTAAGATTATACCATTTAAAATATGAATTTAGAGCTGCAGGAGATCCGAGCTTTTCTCTGCTTTAATAAACGTTTAGCTGAAAAAGTAGCTAAACTCTTGATGAGACAGTCTATCAATTAAATTATCACATTGCTGCAGGTTGATTTGTTTTGCATGAGTCGAATGACAGCAGCTAGACAGCTTGACAGCAGGAGTCCCATGGGCATTTCATTTGCGGCTCTTGGGGCAAATCAATGCACATACGAATTTCCATATTCGTATGTAAAACGATTCATAAATTTCAGATGCTGTACGCATATTTACACGCCGCGAGGCGCGCTTGAAAATTAAGTTTGCAGTTGAAATGGAACGCAAAGACAAGGGGACGGGGGCACACAATGGCCTGACTTTAAATTGCTCACGTGTGTATGTGACACAATTTGGGACAGAGCCGAGCGGAGCCGGGCAGAGAAGGGCAGAGGCGGGCCGGGACAAGCGACAAGCGACAAGCGACAATGGCGGAAACGGAAGCGCAAAATGTGAAAAATGCGCGCAGTGAACAAAGCGCTTGAATGTGGAGCACGAGGCGGAGCAGGAGGCGAGACACAGGCGCTGGAGTTGGGGGTTAAGGCAAGCCATGTGGCGCTTAACAGCTGGCACGTACACGCTGCCACGCCCACGCAAAGGGCCGCGGGGCAAACAATTTGGCAAGCACACACACACACACACACTGAGAGATACGCACATACACACACACACACACACAGTCTTCACTTTTGGTCTCTGCAGCGCTGGAAGTTCGCCCCATCTTGGGGCTATCAACGTCACGGGCCTCGCCATAAGCCTCAAATGCCATGCGTACGTGTGTTATTTAATGCTTATCTTTATCCTTTTCCCATTAGTGTTATTGATGTTGGCAGTCGTCGTGCCCTGCCACTGTGGCACCTGTGCGCTTCTGCTTCTACTGCTGCTGCTGCGCCTCGATAAACCCGGCCGGCAGCTATGCGCTGACAATTGATGCCACAAGCTGCCAGCGGAAGCACAAAACCTGGCACAAAATCACGCGCTAAACATTATTTTAATGCTCCAGGCAGTCACATATGTATGTACTCATTCGCATTCTCAGTCCCAGTCTCAATCTCTCTTTCACTCACTCTTTTTTTGTCTTTCTGTGAGCTCCATTCTATAAGGCAGCTTGTCGCAAATATTTAAAGCTCTGCTGTATTTCCTTTGCTGCTTGCCGTGCCATGTTCTTCAGCCCCAAAGAGCTCTCTGGGGCCCTCTCGATGCCACAACTGACATTTACAAATGCTAAACTTGGCTCCGCGTTGGAGGCGGCCTTGAGGGAAGCCTTTTGAATTGAGACGCTCCTGAATTATGGCGCCAGATGGTTCAACTTAAAGCCCTTCCAGCAAACCTCATAAATTGTGAAATAAGTTTGCGATTAAGACTTTCAGGGCTCAGTAATTGCTTACGAGGTGTGGGAATAGCAGAGATGCGGAAAAACGTTAGAAATTTATAGTAGTTAGCTATTTATGAAATCCATGTTGCCTAAATATTTATAAAAATAAAATAAGAAAATAAAACATATATGCAGATTTTAAATTTACTTGATCGCCACCAGCAGCTTGTGCGGCTGACATAATAATCTACTCTGTACAATATTTTTAATAAAAATCTTGTGAAACCACCAAGTGCAAAACATCAGATTGCTTTAAAATTAAATCAAAACTGAATTTTCTATTACACATCAGGTTGATTAAATATTAATTAAAATTAATTCAAACTCTTCTTACTTTTATTTTTTCTATTTTTCGTGATGTATTTTTAATAAATATTTTGAATTATTTATTTTTATATTATTCGTGTAGTTTGCTTACTGACTTGTTAACCAAAGTGAAAGTTTTCTGCTTGTTATAAGATGAATCTCAAACTTAG